CCTCAAACTTTCTGAATTGAGAAATGGGAAATGGCTAGAACCTTCAAGGAGTGTAATTCGTTCCTTCCACATTTCAAGAACCACAACTGCAGGGAAGGAAGGAGTGAGAGCCTGCCAGTCTCAGGCGAAACTGTTGCCATCTGAAACATATGGTATGAAATGTGGGTGTTAATGGCTACATCCTGTCAATTTGCTTCATCTGTTTTTCCTTTTTTTTTTGATTGCCTCGAAGCAGTACATTTTAAAGGCGGTTCAGCTCATGTTTTGAAACTAGCAGAGGAAAGGATTTGAAGTATTTTCAAACATTCCACACATCTCTTTTGCTCTCCCCTCCTTTTTTTCTTTTGATGGAAAGCATGAGGAAGGAGGGTACTTCCACATGAAGGGCCAGAAGATGGAGCGAAGGGCAGGGAAGACCTGTGTGATCGATCATGCTTTATTAGTCCCGAGGCCGTACTACCATATATACTTCTGCAAAAGTGTAATTGACGTCAGTGGCTTTGAACATTCATAGTGATTGCCTTGGAGTTGAGTTTTATCTTGTTTTCATCACACCACTCACCACCTCCCTTTACCTTCAAACAATGGCCCCAGCAAGCCAGTGCTGAGCATGCCCTAGGCTTACTTTCTTAGGGAAAAATTGGGCATTACCTCACTTCCTGAAAATGTGTCCAACAGAAACAGAACACTTCTCTCTATGAAAAGCAGACAGCTATGTTAACAGTGACCAATTTGCTTGGTGATTTGCTCAATTCCAGGACCACAGAATATTTGTAGTAAGGCTAAATGTGTACCCGGGTAGTTTAAGGGAGGATTTTCTTTTTTTTTTTTTTTGCTCTTGTATATATTTTCAGCAAGTGAGAAATAGTGATCTTCCATAGAAAACAGATGTGAAATTTGTACAAAATTAACGTGAGTTGGCCTTTGCTAGGCAAAATGGAAGTAGTGAGTGATGCGGTATTTGAACCAGAAGATATTTTGTAGGATATTAATGTGTCAAGTAATAAGAATGCTGTTTGCAAGCCAAAATATTGATTCATTAAAGAACACTTGGTGAAATAGAATGATCCATAAGTTATTATTGCCGTGCCCATGAAAATATCTTCTGTTTAAAATCATGACAATCATTCTACGGCAGAGAAATGTCTTTCTATGTCCCATTTAACAATGTAATAACTTTGTTTTCAAGATCTCATTTTGTTCCAGCTGGAAGACATAGAATCTCGTTATACAAAGCAACGATTTCGTCTCTGTTGAGACTTATTATGGGAATTTCAGTTGTCTTGGAGGATGTAAGGTGCGATCCTGGCCTAGTTTGGACTACATGCTATGCGGCTGAAGCCCCTTCTGGGGGATTATGTGGCAGCTATTTCAATAAAGCTCTTAGCACAGTCGGGGTTGGCGAGACATTTGTTGCTTTCAATAGAATTGTGTTTTTTTTTTCTATCATTCCGCAATGAGACTACTAAATAATATTACTAATAAGAAATCCACCCTAATCTTAATTGCTCATGTTTAATAAAATATGGAAAAGAGATGTGAGTTCAAATTGTGGATGCATTTTTATTTTTGATTTTTTTAATTTTTATTTTTCATGATCCAGTTCCATAGGCTCAGGGATGACCTTTCTACTCTCTCCTGTGGATGTGTTATTTAAAATTTCTTTCTACATTTTTATTTGGAAGGCTGAGAGAAAGAGAGAATTGGAAATCATCTTTCCCGTGGCTCATTCCCCCAATGCCTGCACTGCAATGCTTGCACAAGTGTGGTGTTTTGGAAAGCAAAATGCCATGCCTGGTGCAATGGCTCAATGGCTAAATCCTCACCCTGCAAGGAGCAGGATTTCATATGGGCACCGGTTCCTGTCCTGGCTGCTCTGCCTCCCATCCAGCTCCTTGCTCACAGCCTGGGAAAGCAGTAGAGGACGGCCCAAGGCCTTGGGGTCCTACAGCCACCTGGGAGACCTGGAAGAAGCTCCTGGCTCCTGGCTTTGGATCAGTTTAGCTCTGGCTGTTGCAGGCACTTGGGGAGTGAAGCAGTGGATGGAAGATTTTTCTCTCTGCCTCTCCTCTCTATAAATCTCATCTGCTTTTCCAATAAAAATAAATCTTTCTTTTTAAGAAAGAAAGCAAAGTGCTGGAGCTTGAATGTATGATCTTCGTAAGGTCACCTGACGGGTGATTCTATGAAGATGGTTCCCAAGACCGTGCGGAGATGATCACACAAAACCATTCTGACCTGTGATCTTCCACTGAAGGTGCTTGTTTCTCTGAGTTCAGTTCACTCTAATCTTTCTCTATCTTCCCCTGATCAAATCCTAGTACCACCAGCTCACTTAGACATCCATTCTTCTGAAAGCTGGTCTGAACACCTCATCCCTCTAACTCCTGCCAAGTTGGTTGGCTTTCTACGTTGAACTTCCATTATTCCCTCAATTTCTTTATTTCTGTCTCCTCACATAAAATTTATTACTGTTTGCATTGTCTAAAAATGGAGGTTATTAAACCACTATTTTTCTTTTAATTTAAAGACTTATTTATTATTTGAAGGAGTCAGAAAGAGAAAGAGAGAGAGAGAGACAAAGATCTTCCATCCACCAGTTCTCTACCCACAATAGCCTGGTCCAGCCAGGAGCCAGGAGCTTCTTCCAGGTCTCCCACATGGATAGCTGGGGCCCAAGCCCTTGAACCATCCTCCACCAGTCTTCTCATATCATTAATGAGGAGCTGGTTTGGAAGTGGAGCAACTGGGACATGAACCACCCACCATGTGTGCATCATAGAAAGTGACCTTACTCAATATGCTACAATGTTGGCCCCTCATGCCACTATTCTATGTCTTCTCCCTAGCACAGAATATAGAGAATATTATGAGTTAAACTAACAAATCTATTTTGTGTAGAACTTAGTCATGGTTCTGTTGTTACCAGGCCATTAGATACTATCTTAACACCTGTTTAACTGAAAGATAGATAATTTAAAGAAGAAAAGATACCTTCTCAATTCACTAATTGTAGACCCTTAGACTTTTATTTTGTGAATATTTGTTAAAGACTCTGGTTGTAAGCAGTAACTATTTGTTTGGTAAGAATTCTAAATTCCCACATAAATGAGAGATTCAAAGAATGAGCTTAAATGGATCTAGCAGTTCATATTGTGCAATTGTAAGTCCATCTTCCTTTCTCCTGCTTCATCACTGTTTTCTTTTGCATTGATTTCATTCCCAGGCAGAATTTCCCCATCCAGGGGCAAAGCTACCCACAGGCAGCTTACATTGTTTGCATAGAACCCTATCAGTGAGAAGACAGAGTCCTTCCCCTGTGAATTCCACCGGCAGTTTCTAGAGACCCAACTGGCCCTGTTAGGTCAAGCATTCCCCCGAGGCCTCAGTGTGTAGCCGGGGTGGTTAAAGCTTTGGCTGACTGCAGGAGCATGTTCACTGGGGGCAAGTGAGGAAGCTTCCCACATTAAAGAGGAGGGTATTTTGTTTTGACCAGAAAAATAGGAAAAGAGAACATGCACTGGGCAGACCACTTATGGCTCTGTGCCAAGTCAACATGGGCCATCCTGGGAAGTCATCCCCACTGGTCCAGGTTGGATGACTTGACTGCCCCTGGTAGGTAGGGTACAGGAGTTTTAGCAATGCACAGAAGCTGGCAGGAGAGTGCTTCAGACATCTGCTTCTCTCGCTACTGATTCATTTTCTAAAATGCTTGTATATGGATTTAGGTACACGAGAAGAAGCAAGACACAAACAGTCCATTCCCTGGTAGGACTTGTATTCTATTGTGGGTAGGGTTGGGTGAGGAAGGCAGACAAAGATCAAGCAAAGAGGCAAATGAGCTCATGAAAAGTTGTGAAAAATGCTACAAGGAAAATTGACTTGGGGGTCATTATCATCTCCTTCAGGTCTTGGCTTAGTATCATTTTTAAGGATGACTATCTTATCTATCGTATTTAGGCTGACAGCCCATTCCATTCTTACTGCCTCCTCCTGAAAAAGATAATGTATTTATTTATGTGAAAGGCAGAAAAAAGGGGAGAAGGAGAGTTAGAGGGAGAAGGAATGAGAGGCAGAGAAAGAGGGGAGAGAGAGTGTGTGTGTGTGAGAGAGCAATTTAACCTGCTGGTTCAGCCAGGACTTGACCTGGAGCTTAACTGTTTGAGATGCTAGCAAGAGTGGTGCTAGCCATTCTCTCCTTTCTTTCCCCAGCTCTGCTGACATTCTAGCATGCGCTGTACTTTACACATAATTTATTCATGAAGTTTGCATATTTCTTGTTATTACCTGCTGTCCTCCTTTACAAGAATGTGAACCCTGTAAGGTTAGAGATTTTGGGCCTCTTCCTTTTTCTTCACTGATTTATCTTCCAGCGTTTTGGATAAGCTCAATCAATTCCTACTGAGTGGTTGCAACAGAGAACGCTGAAGGGAAAGAAATGCATTTAGACAAGGAGGGCAGTGAAGACTTCCTTGGGATTATGCTACAGGAAGAGTGAGGCGGGATCTTTGAGATGAGCTGGGAGACAGAGGCTTCCCCCAGAAGCAGAGGGCGGAGCCTTTGGTGTAGAGGCTGAGGCACTGCTGGAACAGGTGCATCCCCAGGCAAAGTGCCAGGTTTTAGTCTTGGTTCCACTCATGAGTCCTGTTCCCTGATCATGCACACCATGCGAGGTAGCAGATATGCTTCAAGTGAACGGAGCCCAGCCATTCAAGTGGGAGTCCTGGCTTAGGTTTTCAGCTGCTAACTTCCACCTGGCCTACCTGTGGCCATTGTGGACATTACTTTTTTTAAAAAAATACATTCATATTTCTATTTTTCATGATACAATTCCATGGGCTCAGGGATTTCTCCTCCAACTCTCATCAATTATTCCTCCTTCCACTGTTTCCCCCATATTATTACAATAGTATAATGCTTCAGCAACAGTCACAAGTACATCATTCTGTTATTGAAGTGTATCATGTCATTGTAGGTATAGACAAAGATGGAAAGTCCAGCAAAAGCTGGAACACTTCATGAGTCTGCGTGTCTTCTGTGCAACAGCTATGCTAATCTTCCCTGTATTGTTCCAATTTTAGTATATATGCTGCCAAAGTGAGTGTCATTGTGGACATTTCTTTTCTAAGATGTATTCACTGGAAAAGCAAATGTAAAGAGAGAAAGAGAGACAGAGAAAAAGATATTCCACCTGCTGTTTCATACCCAAAATGACTACAATGGCCGAAGCTGAGCCTATCCAAAGCCAGGAGCCAGGAACCCCTTCTGGGTCTCCCAAGCAGGTACAGGGTCCCAAGGCTTTGGGCCATCCCCCACTGCTTTCCCAGCCCACAGGCAGGGAGCTGGAAGGGAAATGGAGCAGCCAGGACACGAACCAGCTGGTTATGGAATCCTGGTGCATGCAAGGTGAGGATTTAGACATTGAGCCATTGATCTGGGCTTGTGGCTATTTCTTGAAGAGGGACCAGTAAATGGGGACTTTTTTCTGTCTATGAAATATATATGTGTGTGTATATATATATGTATATGCATATCTATATCTATAAGAAGCAGATAAGAAAGGAAGAACTTTGAGAATTTGAGAAACAAGACAAATATTGTGGGTTCCAAAGGAGTACTTAGAAGAGTGAATGGCATAGATAGTTAGAAAAAGTATGCAGGCTGGATCACCCAGGGCCCCATAGGTTGCATAGGGAGTTTGGATTCTTATTCTAGTGTGAAGAAAAATATTCAATTGTTCTGAATTCAGGAAACATTCTTCTGAGTCGGATTTTTGTTGAGTGTTTCTTGATTCTGAAGTTCTTCCTCCTGTCTAAGCCCCCTTCACTCCCCCGCTCAATGACACTTAATGAGCTTTCCCCCTCCATCCAAGTCCTTCCCCAGTCCTTGCCTAGTAGGCATGCAACATTGGGAGCTGGAAAGCTCTCCTGCATTCCGCAAAGCCCCAAGTCCTCCTGAGGACTGTGAACGAGGCCCCATCTCCCCTCCTGCCCCCCCCCCCCCGTCACAGTGTCCTTCCGCCACAGCCACAGCGGCCTTGGCCTGTTTCTGGAACACAACAGAAATACCTCTGTAGAGTCTCCCAAAGGCTCCTCCCTGTCTCTCCACATCTGCGCCCATGCTTCCCCACTTTCTGGGCCTCTTAAAGTGTCCCTTCCTCAGGGAGGTCTTCCTTGCTTACTCCCAAACCATTGTCCTGCTCCCAATTTCACAACATGCTGAGCTTTCCTTGCACAACATTGTGCAGGGACTTGGAACGGTATTTTTTCATGTGTCCCTCTCACAATACTGTCATCATCTCCACGAGGGCCAGAACTGTGTTGATCTGATTGACCTTCCAGCACTATGACGGGTGGTTGGTGCTCACTACCTAGTGATTGGCTGGCAGGATACATTACATAGACTAGCTAAGCAGAACTCAATTCATTTGGGCTATTGATATACAGGCTTTTTATGTTACACCCTTGCAGTCCCCTTCATGGGGTTCCCTTTTCTTTAGCATCTTCCTTCTCTGTCGTATTTGTTCATCTGCTTCTCTTCTATAAGGATAAGGCACTCTCCCATGCCAGGCATTCTTGTGATCACTTCTGCCTACGAGTGGTGACAGTGCTATTGTTGCTGCTTGCTGCAGCCTTGGCAACAGCAGCCTTCTTGTAAACAAGTGGTAAGGTTCAAGAAGTCATCAGCATGTTTGTCAATGCACAATCCCTCTTGTAGAAGAGATGGCTGGCTTTAGCCAACCCCGGGCAAGGTTTGGATAAGCATCTGCACATTGCTGCCATCAGGTGCAACACTGACTAGTAAGAAGACACCGGATGAGAGTGCAGCTCCCTGGGGTGGCTCAGGCTGTGACTGTGCCCTTCACCATGAGACCTCTAATGGAACGATCTTGGAGAAGGGTTGGCTAATTGCGATTAATGGAGAAAAGTCAAAGACATTTTACCAAAGCAGATTCTCCTGAAAACAAAGTTGGAAGTGCGTTCGCTTTAGCAGCTGCGATGGATAAGCATTGCTCCCTTGCCTTTTTGTCCTGAGCCTGCAAAGCTCCCCGAGAAGGAATCACTAGACTTCCTCAGCACCCAGGGAAATGAAGGAACTGGCTACTCTAAGTAGGACCAGGACTGTGCAGAGGGGTGGCAGGTCCTACAATGGGCTGGCAGAGCTGATGGCGAAGCCACTCAGGAGGCGCAGAGGTCAGGAAACCAAGAAGTCAGTCTTGCTTAAGGAGTCAGCTTGTTTCCATGTGGTTCAGCCATGGGCTGTGAGACTTGTCTGCACACTCTGTGGCGGCCCCACAGAGCCTCACGTGTTTCTCCGTTTAACCACAGCTCATGGGTAAAGACGAAACCTGTGCGGTGAACAGGGCCAGCCCTGGTTTCTAACAAAGAGCTTTTTAATAAATTTGTAACTGGGTGAATCATAGCTCTTAGCTTCTCATTTTCTCTGCTATGTAATGTCATTCTTCTTTGTTTCCAAGCCCGTCTTAACATTTTGTAACTATTTGTTCAGATTAATCCAACTCCTTAGACGTTGCAGTGAAAGTTTGTGAATACTTACTATTTGGTTTCAGATTTCCATGTGGAATGGGTGTGTCACCGCCAGCAGAGTGGCTGACTGGCTGGGCCCTGGCAATGTCATTTTCCCACGAACGAAGAGCTGTGGCCCTTGGGTTCTCTGAGGATCTGTAGGTAACTCCTCCGTCCCAGTGGCTTCTTTGCTGTTAGGTTTAAAGCTTTGAATATGAAGCCTTGCCTGTGGGAGAATGGTTATCAAAAGGTCAATTAAAATTAAATGTTTTGATTAAAGTATTTTGACTTGAAGGATCTGAAAAAGGTGAGGAAGGCATTGGCATTTCCAGTTTAGGAGAAAATGTACGCTAGAACTTTTACCAATAAAAGGTTCTGATCTGCTTATTCACTGAGTTTGCAGTGCAGTGGAGCATTTCCTCCTGGGTTCTTTGATATGGTGGCAGAAGACTGAAAAGTGAAATTTTGGGTTTTAATACAATCAAGCACTAAGGATGATGACTCAGTCTCCTTATTTGGGGAACAGGAAGTGGTCTAGGACTGAGATCCAACAACATCAAATCTGTTTGATGTGACTAGGAGTGACTTGCCTTGATGTGGCTTCTTCAGATGTAGCTGGCCCCGAGCATCGTGACGTCAGAAAGCAGTGGGACAGCTTGAGAGCATTAATCAGAACCTGCCACCTGTGCTGCCAGCCTCTACAGCTCCTGTGCCCAGGGCAAGGCCCGGCTTTGCAGGACCTTCACCATGACCATGAGTGGCAGCAAACTCTCAGGGACAGTCTGAGAAGATGGGATGTATGTGCCATTCTGTCAGTCGATGTTTTTTTTTTAAAGACTTTTTATTTTTATTGGAAAGACAGAGAAAGAGAGAGAAAGATCTTCCATCCACTGGTTCATGTCCCAGAAGGCCATAGCAGCTGAAGCTGAGCAGATCTGAATCTAGGAGTCAGGAGCTTTCTTAAAGTCTGCACATGGGTGCAGGTTCCCAAAGACTTGGACCATCCTCCACTTCTCTTCCAGGCAACAAACAGAGAATTGGATCAAAACTAGAACATTTGGGACACAAGCTGGTGTCCATATGGGATGCTGGTGCTTGGAGGTCGAGAATTAGCCAGTTGAGTTAACACACCAGCTAACAGTCTTTCTTTTAAAAAATTATTTTAGATTTACTTGCAGAGAGATAGCTAGAGATCTTCTGATTTACTCCTCAAATGCTTGCAGAGACTGAGACTGAACCTGTTTGAAGTTAGGAACTCAGAGCTCAGTTGAAGACTCCCACCTAGGTGGGGTTCACATACTTGAGTCATCACCAGCTACCAACCATGACGTGTATTACCAGGAGGATGGAATCCAGAACAGAGCTAATGTTCCAATCCAGATGGGATGTTTTCATATGGGATGTGGGCGTTCTAAGTTATGTCACAGATTCTGCTCTTGAGGATTCATCCTTTCTTCTTCCCTTTCTCTTTCTCTCTTTTAAAGATTTGTTTATTTTCAAAGCAAGGTGGCAGGGGTTGGGAGAAAGAGAGAGAGAGAGATCCTGAGGGAGACACACAGAGAGCTTCTATCTGCTGTAGCAAATGACCACGACGGCCAGATCTGGGTGAGGTCAAAGCTGTGGTCTAGGAGCCTTATCTTCTGTTTGGGTGCCAGGGGCCCGAGGAATGCAGCCATCTTCCACTGTCATCTTCCACATGAGCGGGAAGCAGAATTGACAATAGAGTAGCCAGGACTCAGAGTGCAAACCTGATTGATACAGGATGCTGGTCCCAAGTAATGGCTTAACATGCAGTGCCACAACACTAATCACTTGAAGTTGCTTTCTGAGCCATTAAACCTTCAGCCGCTTCACCTGTCCATTAGTGTTTCTGTTTTTCTACTACTTGAGTGAATAAGAGACAAGCAGGCTATGGTTTACTGACATCAGGACACTGTGATGTTTTTTAGCTTTTTGGTTTTTATGATTTTGTTTATTTTTTATTGGAAAGGCAGATAAACAGAGAGAAGAGACAGAGGGCAAGATCTGTGTTGGTGGTATAGTGGTAAGCATAGCTGCCTTCCAGGGGGGAAAATCTTCCATCTGCTGGTCCACTCCCCAGGTGATTGCAATGGCGGGACCTGAGCTGAGCTGAGCCAGAAGTCAGGAGCCAGGAGCTTCTTTCGGGTCTTCCACACAGGTTCAGTGTCCCAAGACTTTGGGCTGTTCTTGACTGCTTTCCAAGGGTACAGGCAGGGAGCTGGATGGGAAGTGGAGCACAGGAACAGGAAGCGGTGCCCATATGAGATCCCAGCGCATGCAAGATGAGAATTTCGCCATCGTGCCAAGCCCACCATGTGATGCTCAAGTCCTGTGCTCTGTATTGACCAGCAGAATCTAACTTTTAGATGCTGCATTTAAAAAAAAAAATGAACCTGTAACTGACATTTTGGCACTCTAACATTTGGGAGCCACTGGTCTCTAGTTTCAGAACCATAGCCTCATCAAATATGAAAACGTTTGTTACTGGTGTTAATTCCTGAATTAGCTCAAATGAAAACTGAAGCTGATGACTTCTATAACTCAGTATGTTACTGTTT